AATATGTGTCATGTTATGGGAATCTGCATGAAAATCGTGAACTCAATTCGAGGAAGAAGAATGTTTCGAGCCCAACTAGAAGAAAACGAATCTGATTACGAGGAATTGTTATATCATGCTGATGTCCGTTGGCTAAGTTGGAGTATATTTTTACAAAGATTCAGGGACCTACTACAAGAGGTAAAAGATTTTTTGGAATAAAAAGATGAAACGTACATTGAACTTAGTGATAAAATTTGGTTGATGGATTTAGCTTTAGTTGTTGATATAACAAGCCATCTTAATGAATTGAACTTACAATTGCAAAGAAAAATCTAATAATAGTAGTTTAGTTAATTCTTGAAACGTCTCTGAAAAATTCTGATTGAAGTTTTAGTATTTCATCATAATATTTCTCTTTATTTAATGTACCCCCATTTTTTGACAACTCGTCAGAAATATTTTTAAATTTTTTTAGTTCATCCTTCATTAGCTGGGAAGATAATAGCTTTAATTTATTTTTGAAAAGTTTTTACATATTCTATCAGTTCTACAATCAATTGTTACCTTCATGTGTTACCCATTTGGCAATATTCATGTGGAAGACATAACCAAAAATATAAATTTATATATTCTCTTTATCTCTTGAGGAAAACGAAGTTCTCTTTCAAAATGACATAATTTTAAAAGCATGGAGCTCAGAACCTAAGAATAACTTTTGGAATCTAATGGACGAAGCAAAATTTCCTAATTTTAAAAAAAGTTGCATTCCATTTAACATCATTCTTTGGCTTGGCTCTACCTGCCTGTGTGGATCAGTTTTTCAACGATGAATATGATTAAGAATACATATCGGGGGGTCCCGTCTCCGCTATCACTTCCGTCAGACGACCACTTAGAATCCAGGGTAAGATTAGCAGTCAGTAACTATATACATCGATATTCAAGTTTGACGGATAGTATGTAGACTAAGTCATCTACTAACTATAACTGTTAGAACTAACTTAAGGTAAAAATGACTTTTTTTATCTATTTTGAATAGTTTGATAGTTAGTGCATCATTTAATTATATTATATTTGTGACTATTGCGCAAATGTTTGTATCTTGCATTTTACTTTAAACGTGGCTTAAAAAGAGAATTTTTCTTTATTGTAATTATGCAGGTAAGTACATATTCCGTATTTATAAGGTGACCAAACGTCCTCCTTTAGGGAGGACAATCCTCCTTTTATAGGTTCTGTCATTTCTCGAAAAGTGTCCGCCTTTTCAATATTTTAAAATGAATCTGTTAATCTCTATTTTCAGAGATGAACCAAACATGTTTCCAAAATGTCGAAGAAGGGCCTGAAACAAATATCACAGGAAATAACAGTTTTTCATGGTGTTTTTTAACTTCGTTACAAGTAAATTGGGCAGATATAGAGAACTGTGCTGATTTTTTATCAAAAGAAATGCCTGATATTAAAATCGTTGACAATGGTTTGTTTGATGAAATTGGATACATTTAAATTATAATAAATTGAAACAATTGAAACATCAACATGCTGAGATTGATAAAAGATGGATGGAAATACTTAACCATTTAAAAAATGAGCACATTCTATATAAAAATTTAGTTATTCTTTTTGAACTTACGTTGTGCTGCCCTGGAACTAATGTAGCAGTTGAAAGAGTTTTTTTCAGTTGGTAATGATTTTTGTGAAGTGACTAGTGAGAAATCAAAATTGAATGTTTATATTTTAGCTACAGTGCTTACCGTAAAATTCAGTATGAAGGATATTTTTTGCCCGAACTTTCCCATATATTAAAAAACGATATGTTGACAAAAAAAATAATTTAATGGGAAAGATACTCGTTTAAGATAATAATTAAAAAGAATGTAAGCGCAATTAGCGTATTTTTGTTTGAATTAGTGAAACGTTTCATATATTTAAATTGTAATTTTTTTAAAAAATTTTTCGTCCTACTTTTCATTGTAAAAAAATGGTCACCTTTTTATTTAGGACTAGCTGAAGTAACGAGTTATTTTTTTTTCACATATTATTCTTGATATAACAGCTGAATTGTAAGCAGACTATTTTTTAAGTGTCAGTTCTAAAAAGAATTTTGTAAAACAGTTCTCATTGTGTATGTTATATATGCTTGAGAAGACTTAAATATAAATCTTGCCGAAATAATCCTTTAAAATATACTCTCTGTGCTTTTCCAAATATCTTAATACTTTTACATGGAAAAAAAAGCTTAACAGAAATAGTTTATTTATGACTTCTCTAAATGAGGATGAAAACACATAAGTGGGGGAGGGAGGGAACTCCAACGACGATGCCAGCAAATTCGGACAAACAGATGATCGGCAAATATTTTTTACTGTCTGGATAAAGAGTGATAGTGACTTCTCCTTTTTGCAATTTCAACAATAATAACAGTGATGAGTTTTTTATCTCCCTAGAATTGTATAAGATTCTAGGTCTGAGTTGTTTTGTCTCTGTGAGAGTAGTACTTTAGGTTTAAAAAGAAAACGTAACAAAACACCTTATCGCAGGGTTGTATGCGCTTCTGCAAATCAAACAAAAGGCCTTTTGATTTAGTTATTGGATCAAAGATATCTAATGATAGAGCTTATGAAGTGAAAGTTTTTATTTTAAGTGACACAAAGGAGACACGATCTTCAAATATTACCAATCTGTTAATAGCAATTACCGTATTTGTTTTAATTTAAGCTACACTTCAAACTCTCCACATGTTTTGTGAAAAAATAAAAAGTTGTGTTAAATATAATTTATCAAAATCCGATATTTACAAAATTTAGGACTTATAAGACATGTATAATTATTTTATTTTACCAGTATTAATAATTTTTAAATAATTGCTTTAATCTATTTCCTCTAACCGTCAGTATTAAGCTCAATTTCCCCCATCCAATGAATTTTTCCATCTTCGATTCGAAATTGCGCTCAATTTTTAGTATCAAAAACATTAGAAAAAAGTGCGGCTTATATTCCAATACACACACACACACACACACACACACACACATATATATATATATATATATATATATATATATATATATAAATAGATAGATAGATAGATAGATAGATAGATAGATAGATATGTCAGGTTTGAAAAGTTTAGCGTCAAAATTAAGTAAGTAATAAGTGAAAATAGAGCGAACTCTTTACCATCGCGTAAGGATTTGTGGGTAAATAAGCCTATTTAAAGGTGAAGCGAGCGCTTTGCAACCCCCACACAGGCTAGATTACTAGACCTCCTTTTTGACTTGCTCCAACGTATCAGTGCAACCAATAGAGTGCCTACTCTCACAGTGTGTGCCATTGACCAACCACAGCAGTGCTATTCAGACACATCAGGACATTCCCGCCGAAACCGTATCCAAGAACAACTCAGTTCCAGTAACCACGCCTTCTTGCCACGTTCGATCTACCAATCAGGACACTCTCTACCAGGCAGGCCCAATCACATCAGGCCACATTTACAATCTAGATATGGGATGGAGGAACGCTTCGCGTTCCGTTTCCCAGAGACGCCCAGCATCCAATGACGAAGAAGAACGCATACTCGAAAGTGTTGATAATTGTTCTACTGGGCTGCGCGCCAAAGGGCCGCCATGTTGAATTTTATGTGATTGAAACAAAATAAAAACGTTATTATAGAGATGATGCCCTCCTCATTTTACCAGTAGGCCTGGGACCTGTCATATATATATATATATATATATATATATATATATATATATATATATATGGTAGTTTGAATTTTCATTTTCTTTTTAAAAACTTTTTTAGCTATATTTTCTACTATTTTGCTATAATTATGAGAACATGGAATTTGCCGAAGAAAGAAAAGCAATTAACTCTTTTTTCAAAGGAAGGAAATATAGTAATAGCTTTTCCAACCAAATGGTCATGCTTTGTAGATGGAAGCAAGCAATAAACAGTGCTGAAGTGTTCTGATATTCATGTGATACTTTAGCTCTTAAGTTTAATTTACTTTTGGGCCGACAAACACCTTGAATAATAATCATTGTAGACCCTTCTTTTAGTTCATGACTCCTACGTCACTGGGTGGACCGCGACACTTTGAAAAAATTACAAGTAGACCGTAGCCTGGAAAAGTCTGCCCACCCCTGTTCTAATTCAACTGACACTAAATATCAAAAATTATTCACTCATACCTTTTCTCAAAATCATGATTCCGAATGTAGTCAGTAATCTTAAATAATTCGATGCATGAAAAATATATACTCAAAAATTTTAATTCTTCATGTTTCTTTTGTTTATTAAGTATTTTTAATTAAAATTTATTATTGATTAACTACATGTTATCACAAAAAATGAAGAAATACACAACACGGGACAGTCTCGATCAAATAAATCTGCCATTAAAATATAAACATAATACGAAAATCATGAAATATTCTACAAGAATTTTATGACTTCGAATAATTAAATTAGCTGGTAATGGAGTGAAAAAATTCTATAATTTCATTGAAAAGTTATGTGTTTGTAGAGTTTAGAGAGAGTGTATTATACAAAAAAGTAAAAATACACTTTAATTTTATTTCTCTCTCCTAATAATAATGTTTAAAAAGTAAAATTTAGTTTTTGAAATTTTCTGAATAACTTTACATTATTTTTTTAAAAAAAGGTTTAATTTAAACTACTAACGATATTCCGAATTTTAAAAAATTACTATATTTTAAAGAAAAACATTAAACTCGTTTATATATGTATATCTATTTTCTTTTTTTCCAATTCCGACCAGCAGTTCACTCTCTTCTTATATACATATCTTGTTCAAATTTTCAATCGATAATAAAATACTTTATTCATCCATTCAAGTTCAAATACATTTTTTAAAACTTGCACTGGATGACACTTGATGTTAATACAGTTTTTTCAAATGCTAATTCATTAATTAAATTTAAAAAAAGTTAATAGTAACAAACAAAAATAATAGTCCAACAGCACATATAGAAAGAAAAACTCCCCGTTATGTCACTGTAGCGCAATGGTTAACGCGTTCGACATCTCATCCAGGGTGGTGGGTTCGAATCCCACCTGAAATGGTCTAATTTCTGAGGCTGTGATATCTCTTTCACTGTACTATTTTCGGAGAATAATTCAATTTAATTAATGAATAAATAGTAACAAACAAACAAAAAATGGTCCAACACCCCATATAGAAAAGAAAATGGAAAATCGCTCTCTGCTTTGTCACTTAATATTGCGATTCTATCATATATATATAGAGAGATTTATATTAATTGTAACTATTCAATAAAAAGTAGCTAAAATAAAAATTTTCTTTGTTTACCTATATAAGTAGGAATTGACTAATTTTTTTTTATATTACTTGTTTTAAATAATATTATTCTCTAAATATCGCAAAGAATACAATAAGTTCATAACCAGATATATGTGATCCAGTTCTCCTTCTCACAATTTAGAGTAATTCTAGAAATCTGTAAGGTTACAAAAAGGAAGCATCAGATATATGTATTATAAAAATAAGTTGTATTTATGAAATTTTTTTAAATGTTCCAAAAATAAGTATTTTCAATAAACAATTGCCAAAGAATAAAATCATTAACTTTTGCAATCATCCAAAACTCTAAAAACACTTTTTGATCCCATACATGTGAGAGAGAAAAAACTTACTCATATAAAAACACAGCTAAGGAATTTTTTCGTAGCATATCCCATGGATCTGGAAAGTCGTTAACTGTGATTGCACCTGATACGAAACTCCAACCTAGACTGCCGGGGTCGACACAGGGATTCTTAGATCCCACAGGTGAACGTGACGTATAGAAGGGGGTAACGTGGTGGGGTAACCCCACGTTAACCTTGGTTTTGTCGATTTAACGGAATACTACAAGGTATTAAAAATAAATCCCGTACAATTTCATTTCCCCCTCTATAATAATTGTTCAGTTTCAACAGTCAAACTTTATACTAGTTTTAATGTCTAAAGATAGAACACAGTATTTTTCTATATTGAAAAAAAAGGGGGTGTAATTCAAAGTTTGGGGTCTTACAGCATTTACAAATTTATAAAAAAGCAGTGCAAAATTAATTTTGGGGGAATTTTGAGAAAATTCTCCATATATTTTTTTCTTAAAGCATGATCGAACGCCCTTTTAAACACATTTTCCGTGTTTTTAAATGAAAAGATAAATTTTAAAAAAAGATTAAATATATATCGTTTGATAAAACAAAAAAAATATATTCACAAAAATAATACATAAGGCTATATTTGCAATTTAAAACTCGTGTGTGGAAATACAAGCAAAGGTAAGTTAAGAAAATAAAATTAGTGTTTAATTAATTATTTAATTTGGTGTTTAATTATTTATTAATTATTTTTGTTTCGGTAGTTCAGTGTTCAAAATGTTGTATAAGTAATCAACTTGAAATAAAATAAAATTTTTAATAAAAACCAGGACATAACAAAAACAAATATTCACATGTAAGGTTACTGAAAAAATATCTTTGCAAACGAAAATCTAATGAAGTTAATTCGTAAAAAAAACTGCTTTTTCTATCACGTGTCAAAAACACATACAAAATCGAATTCTCACATCGAGATTTATTACAAAAAGGTAAGCAATTTTTGCAACAAAACTTATACTACCAAACGATTAAATATCAGTGAAAAAAATAAACACTAAGAAAAATTAGAGTTACGAGTATGTAAATAACGCGCGCGCGGCACATGAATTTTCGAAAAATTATCGATTTTCACTATTTTATATTTTTTAAGAGTTCAAATATTTTGTTTAAAATGATATATGATATGAGGAAATCCGATTGTTAGAAGTATTTTTATTTATTTTTTTTAAATGAAGTTTCTTCTTGAGGCGCATCAAATGAGCTCTGATAAAAGTACCTGTGTTTTCCCTTGCATAAGTTTCTGATGGGGGCAAATCCATATAATGTTCAAGTGGAAAAATTAGAATGTATTGGGAATATCCAAAAGTGTATGGGTATACTTTTTTTGTTCAAGTGAGTCAGTTAATAACACCATATGGTCAGTGATTCCAAAATCTACATTTGTGGAATTAAAAACGTTAAATCGGGGTAAATATTGCCCTGTTCAATATGAGTCATGCAGCAAAATTAATGATCTTAAAACATTGTGTTATTGAACCAAGTTATAACTATGTGGTATGTTTCAAAAAATTAAATGCACGTACAGCGGTCAGAATAAGTATTCGACATGCAACGATTTCTGCGAATATTGACTTTAAACACCTTATTATGCAACAACCGATGGAATTTCATATTGAAGAAAATCGACAACGGTCATTCGTATGATTATACGTTATGTAAAAGATACCTACGGGTGCTCTAGACAAAATTAAATCCTAGTACAGGTTTGCATCGTCAGGGCTCAGGTGCCTCCCTCTAGGGAGGAAACTAGTCGTCAAAATTACCAGCGGCGATTGGTACCCTTCAATATGGCGCCACAATAAAAAAGTGATACCTGCTTTCTGTGAATGTACTAGGTAGATTGATGAACTCTGTTAATAACTGTTCATAATCTGCCATTAGAAATGAAAAAAGAAAAGTAGAAGAGCCTTTTGTAGGAGTAGAGGATAAAGAAAATGTCTCATATGCTTTTGGAAAGTACTGTTGTGTGATGTGACTAATGTCACCTGCCTGACGAAGTCAGATCGAGGCCCATGAAATACATCGCGTCTAAGGGCTAGAAGTTTTACACCTGTCGTTAGCTTTAGCTTTGAGCACCATACAGGTTACAGTACGATTTTGCTCGGATCCACACCAATTTAAAGGGAAGAAACCCCGAGGGTGGCCAAGGGCCTCCCACCTCTCTTCTCTTTCCACCAACCACACGAGAGGACTTGCGGCTCGACGGCTAGTTAGAGTACCCCCATGCCTCAAAGGCACTATACATTTACAAACATCCATGTCTTCCCCGGGATTCGAACCCAGTCCCTACAGCACCTCAGTCAGCGTCGCTAACCACTATAACGGTTGGGCGACTTGGAAAGTACTAAAAAAAGTAAATGCTCAAAAAGGACATATTTTTACTTTAAAGCCTGTTTTTTCTCAAAATGTAATATTTTTACTTTATGTACCTTGTTCTCAAAAACTACTTGTTATATAATCCTCAAATTTTCAGTGGGCATACTTTTAATATGTTTACACATTTTAATGGAGGAAATTAGATATATTTAGCAAACCTTTTTCGATAAGGCTTTTTTAAACTAAGTTTTAGGGGGAGAATTTGACATTTTTTTAAATATTCACATTTATAAAAATTCACAATTACTTTAATTTTAAATACAAAAACCATTCGTTAAAGTTTTATTGATAATACACATAACCAGCTGAAAAACTTTTATCCATGAAAAGTAAGTAGTTTCTGAGAAAAAGGTACATAAACTTATGTAATTTAACATGGGCTCCTATGGACGTGCCGAACCCCCTTAAATCAAAGACGACAATACAGTGAAAGAGAGAAGAGAGAGTATATATATGTCTGATAAAAAGAGAACAAATTCCAACGATAATAGATACATCAAAAATAATTTTAGAGAACGTATTTCATTTTTTCATGCTACATATTTTGATTTATATTTAATTGTAAATCACTGCGTAACTTCTTTTATATATAGCAACCTCTTCGAATCCAGGTGACGGGTAAAAAGCTGTAGTAGGTTGCAGTGGCGTAACGGAGAATGCGAGCCCCCTGCAAAGTCAGGTTTTGGGCTCCAAGCCAGATCTGCCAAAGGATTCCCAAACCATAACATAACATATGCTGTGGGCCCCCTATAGTCCTGGGCCCCTCCGCGATGCGGGGGTGTACATTATGCCACTGGTAGGCTGTCAAATAGAGCGAGTTATCGTTGCTTCCAATTGCTATTTCCACGAGTGAGCGAAAGCCCTGGAATAGCTGAATAGTGCGACGTTAATATTCACTCACTCACTCCACGAGCGATCGAATGAACATTAATGTCAAACTATTTAGCTACACGAGGGCTTTTAAAGACGGACCTCGGAAATTTGAAACATGGTGAAGAGATAAGGACGACACCTGAGCTCTCTCTCTCTGACACCCCTCTCCTAACTTCCACACCACATCAACGGAAAGATGTTTGAGCCTCGACATTTTTGAGCCTCGACCCGAACTCATAACACGCCGGCCACGAGTCCGTTACCTTGAACTACTAGGCTACTGCGGTCACATTACTTTTTCCACAGGAATACATGTAGTTTCGATATTTATTTTAGACTAGCTGGTATACCCGTTCTTTGCACTGATGAATTGAAAAATTAAACAATACAGACTGAAGGATAAAGAAGTTTTTAATGAGTTAATTTTACGTGAATTGTAAATTAAACAAAAAACAAAGGCTTTTTGCATATCTCAGCTGAACAAAAAACCATGTTTGCTAAATTTTAAGTCTGTTGGTATATAGCTGATAAAAAGTTTTTTTTTTTTTTCATTTATAACGCCCCGTAACTCTTTTGTGAGTCGAATTTTGAAAACACCTTCGTTCTGCTCAGCAAAAGTAACACATTGTCACAAATTTTGTGTAATAAACGCTTAAAATAGTGTAAATAATTTGTATCTGGATGTGTAATAGGTTAATATTACTTTCTGATGCATTTATTTTAAGTTAAATAGCTGTTACCCGTGACTTCGAACACGTGGAATTTAACAAAAAGGCGTTTATTCAATTCGCAAAGTTTAAGAAAAACTTAATAATTATGTATTTCACGTAAAGAAATACCTATGCTATAAGTATATTGTCATTCTTCTACTTTGTAAATCGATGTTTCTTTTTTGTTTTATTTTTCCTTTGTTTTTTGTTCTGCAAGGGGTGAGAGGGACGCATGACCTTTGACAATGCAGTTAAGGACTGTAAAATCATTAGGATCAAAGGACATGAACGGGAAATGTCGTGAGTGGCAGCACCTAATCAAACAAAAAAGTTTGATATGACTGCTAGAAATCGTTGAGACAGAAGGCTCGCGAAATAAAATAATCCATATTGAATAAAAAGAATCCCTATTAAAATCGGATATTGTTCACTAT